TTCCTGGCTGAACCCAGCACACTTTATTAATTCAGTACTGGGAACTGGGCTCCTGACATTGCTTGAGAAGGAAACCCAAACAGTCAGCTATTCAGCTTGTTGCGATTTTCTGCCTGGAGAGTTTGGAGACAGGGCTGTGCTGAAGCAAATCAACGCCCCAAACTGCTTAGCTCAGCAATCATCACTAGATATGCTGATGACTATAAGCTTTTAGAGTTAAGAAACCCTGGCTCCTGGGGATCAGTCCTTCAAGTTGGGGTAGACTAACTTGAAGAAGTCAATGCACATGCACTGTGATAAGTGACTATTCTGTGGATAAATGAGAAGGCTTTGCTACATGCAATAACTTCCCCAAAGCACTTCTTTTAAACAGAAACTGGGAACAGCAATAATGTGTGTATTTTCCCCAAGCTAGTAATTCTCCGCAGTCTAGGTAATGGGATTATTGCCATCACATGAGTTGGGGACCCCTTGAATGACACCAGAACATGTTCCTACCAAATTAATGGGTAGGCAGGAGTTCTGCATTTTAAAATCTAATCTGAAAACCTTGGAGACTGATTAAATTATGTCTCTGAGCCAGAAACAAAATGTAGCTTCATGCAAATTGTGCTCCTGCCCATAATTTTTTGTTAGCGTTGGAGGATGATTTACTATTGGGGTTTCAGAGGTTGTTAACGAGAGTGGTGTTCTAATCTCATGATTATTTTGTCAGATGTTGGAAACTACAGTACTTACACAGAACTCTGCTACTGGCAATGTGAGCCTGTAGGAAAGGGTAATCTATTTTAATATTACACCCATCTCCGTGGCATGTGGAGAGCCAGCAATTCAGCTAAGGGTCTTTTTCAGATTTCCTTTAAGAGCGAGGATTCCTCTCAAGCAGAAAAGCATAAACAATTATCTTCATTTGAGTTCATTAATATGTCTGTTTTCCAGCAGCCTTTAAGACAGATTTTTTAAATTCTCCTCCCTTCTCTTAAACCTGGACGGTGTTAATCTGTCAGTAAGAATGGAAGACAAGAGACTTTGTTGAGAGATAAGAGTGCATTAGTTGATGCAGTGACTGTTATACCAGTACAGGATGTTTACATGCTTTTTTCTGATTTCACAGGAAATACTCTGAGCTTCATATTTACAGAGCCACTTTGGCTGACGCTGGGGAATATGCATGCAGAGTGAGCAGCAAACTAGGGAATGACAGTACTAAAGCCAGTGTTATCATCATGGACACCAATGGTAAGGCTTGGCTCTTTATTATACTATCACACTCAGAAAGAGCATGTATTAAATCTGCCACGAGGATAAAAGGCTTGGGAGCAGGAGAAAGCTTTGTGAGTGAAGTGGAAACACTGAAATCTGTTAGGTGTGCTAAGAAAATTAATTAGGCCTGACTTATCTACTGTGTAGTTGAGATGTTTGGTTTTCCTTATGCAGACAAATGGGGTGGTTCCTATGGATCTCAGGAGAGATCAGCATTTTCTGTGAGATACTTTCCAACACCAAGTCTAAAACACAGTCTAAATAGTCAAGGTAAGAAAAGAATGAAGGAAAGGGAGTATTATTCTAATTCCCATGGTACATGTCAGTAGCAGAGGCCTGTGGGGAAACGTTTATCTACCCTAAAATATATCCTAGCCTGAACTTCTAAACCACCACTCTCTTTGTCTTTAAGCAATATTTTTATGGCTCTGATTGCCACCATTTTTACTTTCACTGATGTTTATAGATTTTTTCTTCTGATTTCTAAAATAGTAAAGACAAAGGCATGCATGTATTTGAAGGCTTGTTATTCAAAGGAATGAATGTAATTCGGCTACTTGATTTCACTCTTTTTATATATTTACTGTGATTTAAACTTATTGAGGAGCAGAGCTTTTCCTGAGGCAGATCGCATTCAGACTTATCCAAATGACTTGAAATTATTATAGATTGCTGTTTTTGCAGGGCTCCTTTCCGGTTTATTTACAGAAAGTTCCAATTGCTTCTGACTGAATTTCGTGTTTCCAGTACACAAATGTTTCAGCAGTACTGTTTCCCCTTGCAAGTGCTTTGGGGGCTGCAGTTCAGCTGAAATCCTGTTTCTTAAGTGTGATACTGACTAATTCAGCTTTGAAAATTCCGACTCCAGTGTCCAACCAGTTGTGAAAGAAATATGCCCTCATTAGCAAACAAAGCGGAAGTTCTCTGCGTTTGAGATGGGCTTAAAGATCTAGTTGCAATGGGAGTTTACCAGGGATGATGTTCTGTTCCACACTGTGCTCGGAAACAGGAGATAGGCATTTAAATAAATAGCAAAATAAATGTAAACCTTTGCCAGTGGGATTTGTCTTTGACTATCTGCTGTTTTGTGGTCATACAGCGATTGCTTGACTGTATTCACTTTGTGTATTTGCTATTCTATTCTGTCAACTAAAGAATCTGAAGTGCTAAGATTTCATAATAGCTGTAAGGTATTACAATCATGATCAGATGTCAGGAGACCGATATTAAAGAGCGAGTGTTATTTGCTACTAGGAGGAAAAATGGGTAAGTGTTTCTGTGTAGCTTTTTAAGTGCTCTTGGTTTCCATGAATACAAATTTTGGTTGCCCATTAGCTGCTTTCATGGCAAGCTCCTATACTGTTTCCAAAACTCAGCTGTAGGCACTGCGCCTGGGCAATGATACAGATAAATGCAAAAAAAAAAAAAGCTTGGATGTCCTCTATTACTTTCTCAGACAAGGAATGGTGATGTGGCTAGGGCGTGCATGTGGGACCTCATTCCTATGCTTCATGACATGGATTTTTCAACTTCCTTTGGGCTGTGCTGAATGACGGCGAAACATTC